ATAAATATGCTAGATGCCTGTGCTTTTTAACCAAACCACCTCAAATACCTAAATTTGTAAACAATAAAATTCCGTGTGTGAAGCAGTTAGTAGTATTGCAATGTATGTTCTAGCACACCTGCGGGGGGTCCGTAACCCTTTTGTCCCCCCTGGCTTAAACCTTCCATGTTAATAATAATTGTTATTGTTAACAATGATTATTAACAATATTCGTTGGGGGATCCCTGGCTTAACCCTTTGATTCCCTGGCCTAACCCTTGTTAATTATTATTAATGTTAATAATTGCTTATAATTTTTTGAGGAAGGTTTCTAGGGCTCCTAGTCCCTAGGGATCCTATACCTAGTGCTTTCTGCCTAATTTAATTTAAATGTATTTTTAATAAAGTTATAAATATATTATTGACAATTTACTTGCTACATTGAAAATCAATGATATGAAAATGAAACGAATAGAAAATAGCGACGATTGAAAAAAATGAAGAGACAGATCCGAGAATCGAACCGGAGTCCTCTGGGTTGGCAGGCTGGCGCTCTACCACTAGAGACAATGCCACATATACCTTAGAGGATGAATATTGTGTATATTAGCTACACGCGCATACATTTGGTATAGGGCCCGAGCGTGCGGAGGAGGGGGGAGCGCATGCTGTCTATAGTTCTAACTTGATGATGCGTGCTCTCTCTCTCCCTCTCTCTAGCTCTGACTCAGCGTAGACCACAGTGCGTGGAGGAGAAGGGGAGCGCATTCTGTCTATAGTTCTAGCCTGATGGGGATCCACTACTATAGCAGTAGTGAACAAATACACGGGGGGGGGGATTTGCCGAGAGACTTGCGCACGCAAATACAGTTGACAAGGTAAACGGATGGAGAGAGAGAGAAAACCGCGATCGCCGCGAACTAACCGCTCGCACGCAATAAATAAACTCTTCACGCACGCTGCGCGGGATCGCACGCTAACAACGAAATAGGGGATGGTGCACCTACCGCGAGACTGATGGGGATACGGTGGCCAACCGTATCCGATGCACGAGTCGCTAATTAGCTGCTCCGCCGCTCGCTGCACTGCCCCTGTTATTGCTGTTGCTGTTGGTGCTGCTGCTGTGGTTGTTGCTGCTGAGACGACTCCAACCGCGCACGTTTCCCAGTGCGCGCACCACTCGCTCACTTTCGCCGATTATCTGCTGCACCCTCTGCTCTCGCTCGCAAAACAACAAAAACAATGTCTGTACCACACTCACTAATCCGGATGCTACCTGACTGAAGGACACAGTCGTACTGCCTACTGAACTCTCCCCTCCCGGTCATTGCCCCTACGCGCCCTCTCTCTCTCTCGAACCGATCGCGGCTATTCCGCTCAGCCGCTTGTTAACCTACGCGAGTCGAACGATTTTCGGTAATCGTTGCACTATATATGCCATAGGAAATCGTTTCGTCGCAGAACGTGATTACAAGGCTAAACATCCATAGTACGGGTCACGTTCAATAACTTCAAATCCAAGAGCCATTTCTATTTTAGTAATGCAAACAGTAAATTTTACACAAATACTATTGGTGAACTTACACAATGGCGAGAGAAATAAACTACTTAATTCAATAGATTTTGCAATAATTAAACGACTATGATTTAAACATCTAATATCTAAATCATTCCTCAAACTAACCTCAAATTTCTTCCTAATTATTATAAACTATTATTCAATAATTAAAATTAAAATTAAATATATTCCTCTTTATAATAAAAAAAGCATTCTGTGATACCTACAGAGTAGTACTAAATGATGAATTAATATGTAAAATACTGTTTAAAACTCGACAAAACATAAATACTGTTATAGAAAATCTAAACAATAACACTCACATAGCTTTTAATATTCCGACCCTAAAATTCTCAACAATAGAAAAATCTAATATATTTATCTCTAAAACAGTATTAGACTAATTTAAACAAAAAAGAAATTTAAGGATAATATGGCAACAAAATATGAGAACGAACTGATAAAACAAAGGATAATCGTATTATAAAAGAACTTAAAAAAATTATTATCGATGAAAATAATACAGGAATAAATAACTACCTAGAAAATCTGACTGCTACCGAGGCATCTGAATATTCACTTTGGAAAGCAACAAAAAAATCTAGAGTCTCAAAAATTTTCACTTCCCATCCTAAAAAACGACAAGTTATCGGGAAAAACGAACATCGATAAAACTAATACATTTGCTAAACACCTCGAAAGCGTATTTACCCCGAGACAATTTATCATAATAAAAAAAGAAGATTTCACGATATTAAATAGCAGACACACTAACAATGGTAAAAAGTACTCATTCAACAACATTAAAATAAATGAAATAATAAACATTATCATGAAACTAAAAATAAAAAAGAGCCCAGGACACGATAATATTGATGAAAAACTACGTAATTAACTGCCTATAAAAGCGAAAAAATTTATTATTATAGTAACAAATGCAATATTTCGACTATCCTATTTTGTTGTTGGATGGAAGGAGGAAACAATTATATTTATCCCAAAACCAGGTAAACCATCCGAGCTTCTTTCGTGATATACGTAGACTTATCAGCCTACTTCCTACAATTTCCAAAGTATGTGATAAAATAATATATAATCAGAACAAAATATAATAACCACGCGACAATAGAACAAATTAATAGTCATCACTAAAATCAAAAATACTTTCGAAAAAAAGCAAATATTGTAATGCCGTATTTCTTGATGTAGCTCAAGCTTTTGATAAAGTCTATCACGAAGGCCTATTGTATAAACTTGATAAAACCTTCCTAAATCTAACAATTTGTATCTACTCTTAGAATCTTACTTAAATCAAAGAACTTTTAAGATAAAAATTAATAATGATACTCTAAAACTTTGCCTAATAAAAGCTAGTATTTCTGAAGATAGTGTTATTGGCCCTATAATATATTAAATCTACACACATGATCTTTCAACCATGAAAAACATTAATTTCGCTACTTATGCAGATAATATAGCTTTATTAATAACTCACTTATATGCAGCAATCACCTCTAATAATATGCAGGAATATATAAACAAAGCCAGACTTTGGTTTAACAAATGGGGAATAAAAATCAATTCAAGTAACTTACACCTTCAAAATGAAACTTATCCTTCAGCACATATAAACGATCAACTAATACCTCAAGCAGACAAAGCCAAATACCTTGGAATCCGTCTGGATTATCGCCTAACGTGGGTAGATCGTATATGGAGCAAATAACTTAATCTACAACTCAGAAAATACTACTGGCTATAAGGTATAATATCTAAATTGTCAATTGTAAATTAACTATTAATATACAAGAGCATACTTAAACTAGTAAAAACATATGGTTTTCAAATTTGGGGTAGAGTAATAAAATGATACATTGATACCATTGCAAGATTCCAAAATAAAGTTTTAGGATCTATCATAAATGCACCATGGTTTGTTATAAATAAAATAATCAGAAAGAAAATCCTTAAAGATGATAAGTCGGATTGTGAAAGGAGAGATGGAAATTACTTGTTAAAGGTATACTGCACAACTAACAAAACATTCTAAGTAGATACCGAAGAAATTAATCCATACAACACATAGAATATCAAGATTTAAGAAATATAAATTACCATTCATACATGTACAATGTAGTTCTGTAAAATAAAAGAATTAGTACGAAATGGTGAAGTACTTTCTGTCATGTAGTTTTTGTAATAAAAATAGTATTATTATAATATCATTTTATTATTGTCGACAGACGGATTGGAAATAAAATTGGGCAGAAAAAAAAATAAATGAGAAAAAAATATGTAAAAGTACGAATAATAAACAAAGTATTAAATAAAATAATCTTTATATGGAATAGACAAATGTCCTCAACCGGATTTATATGTAATTGACTCGATTTGACTTTCTAAATGTTCAAAGTTGTTTGCTATACGTTTGAAAACAAATAGAATGTCATCTTACATTTTTGCATTATCTATCTCTTAAAGCTTTATTTAAGCAATGTTATCATTTGCATGATTTTGCGCATTAGCTTATGCGTACTCTAATTGATGAATATACTTGCTTTACTCGTTTACCATTTTTATTAATTCGTAATATATCATCGATCGCTTCGTGTTTAAATAATAATCACTTTACGCTTTGAGTTATGAATTCAGCGGTCATAAGACTCAGTAAATATCGTAACCGTTTATTTAACATTTATTTACTTTTAAATTCATAATTACTAAAGACAAAAACTCTTTCTCTCAGCTATTATTATTTATAAAAATTAAATATGCATAACAAATTTACAAACTAATAATAATCTACATATAAATTTTTTTTCGTTAACTTTATAGACATTTTGTTTTTCTATAAATCGTAATTAAAACTCCAATTATGACATACATATTTACTAACATATACGTCCAGTTCTTTTGAATCCTACACGGTCCACTAATTTATAAAAAATATAAATAAAAAAAATTATCACATCATCGGTTTTCCCGTTTATTTTGCGGACAGTTTTGCCATAACAATGCGGAAATGACCTTAATAGTGATCATTGGATTGGAATATATTAATTATTTTGGAAAGCGTTCTTTCATGATATCGAGACAACATACCACAACTGAGCGATAATTCATCTCTAGCTTCAAGGCTGGTACTAAGCAAAATAAAGAAAAATTGGATCGTTTTTACTGCTTTATATTCGAACAATAAAGTTAAAGTAATCTGAGTAGGTAGGAAACCAAGTCAAGAGTACCACGTCAAGCTAGCATGATTCACGAAAATACCTTGGTTCATTAAGGTAAGACCACTACTGTCAAGGGGATACCGCGGTGTATTAACACTTATTTTCTAGCAATCGAAATTCTAATCACACGCTTCTCTCCCCATCCTTATCTGTATTATATGTGTGTATATATATATGTGTGTTACATATGTACAAAGTTTTTATTTCAAGTGATTAAAATGTTTTTTCAGATTGGAGTAAGCTAGATTGGAATTTTTTAAAAATTGACAGTGTTCATACTTCTTGCGTGTCCAACCTAAAAACTTAGTAGCTGCAGAGTTTTACTTTTCAAAGGAGATTTACAGAGTTCGCTATCTTGAATGCAGAATTGAGATTTATCATTTAGAAGTAGGATATGATCCAAAGCATCAGCGACGGCCGCTGTGGTTTGATTCGCAATGTTTTCTGTGGCAATATTCTGGTCGGAGTTGATCCAAGTACTATACCTCAGACACGAAGCTTCAACATCTGTGGTCGATTTTCAAGTACACCAACTTTCACGACAGTAATCGACCTAACAAAATTAATCTTATTAAAAAAATTTTCAAAAAATAGTGATCTCGTATATTTATCGAACAACTTGAGAATTTCCAAGCACCAAGACTGTAAGTTTCATATAGAAACTACTGGACAATATTTCTTATGACAACATAATGTATATGCAGTTTTATGCAGTTTATGTTGCAGTTTATGCAGTTATTAATTATATACAGTTTTCGGTATGTTTTATAACTTTCTTTTAATTTTAGAATAACAAAAGTTTGTCATTATTAACAATTTCCTAAATTGTATAAAGTATCATAATATCGTGAAATTCGTTTTTTTTTAGAAAACAATAAAATTTTAAATTATGAGTTACAGCAAATATACAGAATATAATAATAATAATTAATATAAATATCGGTGTTGACTTAAAGATGAAAATTGTAATATAACTATCGCTACATGAGACCCAAAACATTCCTACAATTAGAAAATAAATTTTTGTCAATTCGTTCGGAGCATTATGGATTATAGGTTATACATTAATAATATTCTTCAAAAAAATGTTCTAAGTATCAAGTTTTTTTTTACCATGAACATTAGGTAATTGCAACATTTTTAGGATTCTCTATTTCACAATGTGTCTAGCAGGAGTTTCGAAAGTTAAAACTTGCAGGGTCTTCGAAATCGCCGGATCGATTCACGAGATATCCACTTTTATACCAAATATTTTAATAGATTGTAATATCATGGAGATAAAAATTTATTATGAACCAAAAACTGTAATTTAATTATAATATTTTTCAAATGTAAATTTATGTCTTCGTCTGAGAGCATAACATTATCTGAAAATTGTTTAAGATGAGTTTTTCCACGTATGGATCTCATATAGGTCTAATTCTTGAATATTTCCAGTCGTTTCTACAGATATTATTTTTAGATATATTGTTTTATTTCGTGACATAAATTCTTGTACTGAAGCTGGACAATGACCGCTCAACGAATCAATGAATAGAATGCTATAGGTTCTACGAGAGGAAACTACGTTTTGAAGAGTTCTTTAAGTTTTAATTTTATTTTAGCCGAAAACTGCCGTTCAAAGAAAAAATTTTCTTTACTCAGCTGTACGCAATTTTTCATCCTAATTTACGAGCTAAGTGTGTGGCCTGTTTTTTTTTCCTTTTTTTTTCGAGCTGCCGTTACACCCCCACACTTAAACGGTTGCTTAAAGAGTGAAACGAGGAATAGCAATCTAAACTTAAGATATGGTTCTAAAGATCGTGTCATACAGAATTATATACATGAAGAGAACGAAATTAAAGATATATATGTAAAAAAAAAAGAACTCTTGCCTTCAACATGAAAGAAACCCAAATTATGGCTTGAGAGACGTGGATTGAGTTGGTGAAGTAGGATTATTTTGCTTATTCTCAGTTTCTTCATTTTCTGTAGGATGCAAAGATGGATATAGATAATCTTTTTTTGGCGCTGAAGCGTTATTCTGTGCTGGTTCCGTGATATTTTCTGTCAGTGTAACTTTAGGTGCTAAGTATATCAAAAGTGTAGTTAAGCTGTTCCATATGGCGCCGATTAAATGGAAAGACCATCCATAAATGCTGTGGAGAGTTAGTCCATTTATGAAAACCTGTATTAGTTTCTTGATGGTTTGTATAATTAGCAAGATTGCAAATATTCCGGCGCTGAATGTTACGAAAGTCATAAATTTAGTCCACATTTTGTTCCAGGTATTGATCACTAACTTTTCCATCACATTTTCATTCAAGAGTCCTCCAATTATTCCTTCATGATCTTTGATGGCATGTCCACGAATTACTCGAACTACGTCATTTACTGTTGTGGGTCGTTCCATAGGAAACATGATACGGTTTGTCAGATCTTGTAAATCTTTTTCCGTGTATATTCCACTTGTGGCAAGTGCGGAGATATTCTGATATTTCCACATTAATCCAGAGAAAGGTTTGAGAGTGGTAGGTGCTTTCGCCTCTACTGCTCTAGGCAAAAACTTATACCAATCTTCATTCAAATAAAAAAATGTGGGTAACAAAACGTTGCAATCAACTATTTTTCAAAATGTGAGTTTTCGGAGATAAGAATTTTGTATGATTGTTATGGATTACTTTCAATTCAGCATAACACTCTTCACTTTGCGAGACTTTCACATCAATTGGTATGCATTTAACTATATGTACTACATCACATGCCGTCACGGCCATATATCCAGGTCCCTTCATGAGATTATAAGCCAATTGATCAGGAGATTGCGTGGCAATAGCAAGTACATTTTTCAAAATATCTCTTTCTTGACTACAACGTTGTACAACAACATCCCTATACAAATTTGTTATTTGTAACTTAATATAACCCTCCATAAATACAAACTTTAACTTTATATACGCAAATATATTTAAATTACTAAAAGAAATTTTCTTTCTGGGAAATAACATATCGTTCTTAACCTTATGTATGAATAATTTTGGAAATTCGGTATCACTAATCTCATAACCGCATGAATATCGCTTAGACTTAGTTATTAATGCAAAAGTGATATCTTGCGTAGCTAAAGAGAACAGAGTTTGTCCAGTTTCATTTGTAACTTCATTAGCTATACCGTTATATAACACATTATATGGATTAATAGAACAAAGGTCGCATGGTGTCCTTTCCCAAAACGTACTAATATCCTACTTCCGAATCGATACATTGCTCATTCCCTAATTTACATCTAACACCACTACGCAAAATTATTTGATCGTTATTTAAATCAACGGAAGCGGTATATTCTTGAATAGTTATTTTGATCTTGACTTTAACTAACACGTTACTCCAACTTCCGTAAAGATCGGAGTAACTACCGGAGCTACACTTCCCATTTTGATTTACAGTATCGGCAAGAATTGCTGGTCTAGTCGTAGTTTGATTAATCTTTATGTCGCGAAATATATGTACATTATCGAAATACAAAGTACCGCTTTTATATAAATCATAACAACTTTGTCGATTTACATCCATTAAGTATTCCATCGCACCATTTTCTATAATTGAATTGTGTGAGTGCATTCCACAATAATAAACCGTTCTATCTATTTGAATTATACATTGAATTGCGTGTGTGTCGTCAAAGTTATTTAATTGTAACAATTGAATATGTTGTCTTGTTATGTTAATATTGGTGGAAGGCACTTCACACTCTTCTACATCTAATAAGGATACAGTTGTTATGTTAAGCGATCTTTCTCCACAGTCGTATCCTATAATGGCCGTCACTGGAATAGTTATTGTAAGGGATAGCAGTAAGAAAAAAAATGAATACATCATATTGTCTGTAATCATAAAAGTATTTTATTATATGTTCCTTCTTTTTATTATTCACGTTTGATTAATATGCGAAACCCGTAGTCTATTCGCGTATAAAACTTTACTACCCTTTTTCATTTTTATTTTGATATTATTTCTCAGTAATATGGCTATAATTTTAAAAGGACCCGAATAATGATCATCAAATTTCCCGGGGTTGGGTGCAGATTTTAAAAATACGTAATCACCTAACTTAAAATTAACTGGATTTATATGTTGATCGTAATATTTCTTTGATTTGAATTTGGAAGCGACTAAGTTTTCGTATGCCAATTTTTGAATTCCTGTGAGTCGCGTTACTAAGTCAGTTATATATATCCCTTATAAGTCGGCACCATATCTGCTTCACGCAAGGGGTTACTAAATGACAATCGGGCTAATCGACCGAAAACAACTTCGAATGGGGTATGTTTAGTGCTTTCTTGAACGCAGGTGTTATAATTGAACATGGCTAAGTCGAGCCATTCGTCCCAATTGTTGTCTATTTCTGTATATTGATTTAATTACTCAGCAAGAGCATGATGAGATCTCTTTAAAGAACCATTAACCATTAAGCTGCGGTCAAAAGGCGGTGGTCCTCAATTTCTTAATCTTGAAATGTTTAGCAATTCTGGTCATCAATGAACTCAAGAAGTTCTTTCTTTTGTCTGTAAGTACGGCTTTGGGACAACCGAAGACGCAAATGAATTTTTTAATAAAAGCATCAGCTATAGTGGATGATAGCGTATCTGCTAACGAGATAGCTAAACAAAACTTGATTAACTGATCTTGTAGAGTTAAGACTTACTCGTATCCTTTGGAGGTTTTCTTGAGTGGGCCAACAATGTCCATAGCTATCTTATCAAATGCAGTTGCGGAGGTATCAGTAATTATCATTGGTTGTTTCGTTTGTAGGCGAGTGAGTTTCTTTAGCTGTCACTCTAGACACTGCTGTATTCACCGTTGAATATCATCTTTCAGATTTTCCCAGTAATAGTTTTATCTAATACGGTGGAAAGTTTTGGAAACGCCGCGATGTCCTCCAATAGGAGATTTATGAAGCTCGTAAAATATTGTATCACGTTGTTCCAAAGGTACATATCTTAAAGTATCTTTACAAATTATTACTTTAATACTAGAATTCTTAAATACTTTATTAATTATGTAATTTATTTCCATCCACTCTAAATTTTCTATACATTTTTAGCTATACAAACTCCGGCTTGATTGAAATTAAGTAATAAGTTTCTTAGGATTAATAAAGTCGAATAAATTTGATCTTTAACATAGCTTATCGATTCGGAGGTTTCACCTCGAATGCAAAATCCAAATTGAGAATACTTCTTATTTTTCTTTTCTCTCGTAACTTCTTCTAAACTAACTAATTACTTACTGATTATCTTATTATTGTCTATAAGCTTGCGAGCACCTTCATCGCAAGTTTCACCTGTAGTACTTATAAAATAAGCTACATTATTTTTTTGTATATGGAGAGATTCTTTAATCTTTACAATATTTTCGCTAATCTTATCAAAATTACTTGATTCATCGGAATCGCTAATTTCGGAATAATTCTCAAGCTTATTATCCTCAAAAATAGGGAATTTTTGATCAATAGGTATCTCGGGTGCTGCTTTTGTTTTTCCTTGTAATTTGTCTTCACCTTCATCAAGATCACCTTTTTCATAATCAGGTAATTCTTTTCGAGTTCTCTTTGGGTATCTTCTGGGAATGATTACACTTTCATCGTTGTGAAACGATTCTTTTGTCACAGGATCAAGGTTAGAAGTTAACTTTAAGACTTGATTCGAAGGGACTTTTTTACGTCTACTATGTGATCCCTTGATTTCGTTATTTCGAGGCGGTGGTTCAGGCTGGAGAT